TACAGAGGTCTTTCTTATTACATAATTTTTCAATTTAATCAACATTATTCTTTATATTTGAATTAGAAATACTGTATTACCAACAACAGGATTTATATCGTGGACGAGTCATGTTGATAGTTTAAAGATACTGAGCCTATGGAATTGATTATTGCCCTGACTGGATTACAGGCATACCTCAGAATGCGAGTTTAATCCGTTCCTGGAGACGCCTCGCCTTCCGAAAACTCGCATTCCGAAGTTAATTTCCCCATAAGAAATAAAGGGAAATGAATTAATCCGTTCCTGACTACCCCAAAAACCCCACATCAAACTAAATTTTTATACCTAATTCATCTAAATAAACCTACAAAACTATGTTCCAGTTATTACTTACCTTGCTGTCGAGTGCTGTAGGCGTATGGAAGATGGTGAGGAGGGGGGAGGAGGAGAGGAGTTACTGTTTGGAAGGGGAGTCCCCTTCCATAATCACATCAGGCAGTGAGGACCTTTCTGGTGTGCTCTCCCTGGGACGTTTAACCTGAGTGCCACTAGGTCCTGGTTGAGGCTCACTGCTCGATTTCCTCACCACAAATCTGTCCATGGAAGCTTGCTTTTCCCTTCTTCGCAAGCTCTCTCTGTAGTAAGGCATCACATTGTCATTGAAAAGATTAAGACAACGGCCTACTACAGCTTTCTCTGGGTGAGTCTGTTCAATAGTTGTTTGAATCTCTTCCCACATCTGACACACCTTCTTAATTACTGCAGAAGGGACATTCGCTGGTGCTATTGGTGCTGCTGCCACCTCCTCCTCCACTGCAGAATCATTCGCTGCTGTGGTTGCTACCACAGCAGAATGCTGTGGTAGCACAGAATGCTAGCTGCATTCTTGCTACCTGGTTGATACCTGGTTGATGGGGTTCTGGGAGTTCTTCTACTCCCCAAGCCCGGCCCGAGGCCAGGCTCGACTTGTGAGAGTTTGGTCCACCAGGCTGTTGCTTGGAGCGGCCCGCAGGCCCACATACCCACCACAGCCCGGTTGGTCCGGCACTCCTTGGAGGAATAAATCTAGTTTCCTGCTGTTCCTGTTGAAGGGCTAGGAGTTCTTCGGTGGTCAGTTCGTTGTGTTCTTCCACCAACTCCTCCACATCATCACCATCCAATTCCAAGCCCATTTGCTGGCCTAGACTAACAATTTCCTCAACAATAGGCGCATCATTTATAGGCTCAAACCCCTCAAAGTCTAGTTCTCTCACACCTTCAGGCCACAATTTTCTCCAGCCAGAGATCAGGGTTCTTTGAGTCACTTCTTGCCAGGCTTTGTCAACGAGTTTTAAAGCACTACAAATGTTAAAATGCTCTCTCCAGAAATCTTTGAGGGTGAGGTTTGTGGCTTCAGTCACTTCAAAACATTTCCGGAAAAGTGCCCTTTCATACAGTTTCTTAAAATTCGCTATGATTTTCTGGTCCATAGGCTGAATTAGAGGAGTGGTGTTAGGAGGAAGGAATTTAACTGTGAGGAATTTATTGTATTGAGGCATCAAATCATCTTCCAAGCCTGGAGGATGAGCAGGAGCATTGTCAAGGAGAAGCACGGCTTTGAGTGGCAATTGTTTCTCCTGCAGATATTTTTCTATGGCAGGGCACAGCACTTCATTCACCCACTCCGAAAAAATAAGCCTAGTGACCCATGCTTTTTTATTAGACTTCCACATCACACACAAACGGGTTTTCTGCACATTATACTGTTTGAAAACCCTTGGATTTTCAGAATGATACACTAGCAAGGGTTTAATTTTCAAATCGCCACTCGCATTTGAACACAGCACAAGCGTAAACCTATCTTTCATAGGCTTGTGTCCAGGCAAGGATTTTTCCTCCTTGGTAATGTATGTCCTCTTAGGCATTCTTTTCCAAAACAGTCCTGTTTCGTCACAATTAAACACTTGTTGCGGTAGGTATCCCTCAGCCTGTGCAAACTCTTTAAATTCGTCAATAAATCGTCCAGCGGCTGGTTTGTCTGAGCTGGCTGCCTCCCCATGCCTTGTAACACTATGGATACCACTTCTCTTTCTAAATTTTTCAAACCAGCCCTGCTTGCCTTAAACTCTTTCTTATCTGCATCACTCGTTGCAGGGGTCTTCTTTAGAAGGTCTTCGTGCAACACCCTGGCTTTCTCACAAATAATGGCCTCCGAAACACTATCACCCCTCAACTCCTTGTCGTGTATCCAAATTAATAACAACTTTTCCACTTCTTCAAGTATTTGTGGTCTTTGTGCCGTTAATGTTCTTACTCCTTTTGCCACATTAGCACTCATAACCTTATTTTTCTTAAGTATAGTGCATATTGTTGATGTGGCTTTGTTGTACTGTACTGCCTACAAAGTTCAACAACACGTGTACCGTTCTCATGCTTCCGAATGATCTCTTGTTTCTCCTCTATTGTCATCCTCACATGAGCTTTCTGGCCTTTATCCTTACCACTGGCTTTCTTGGGACTCATGGTGAGATATATAATAACAAATTGTATAGACAAATCACCAAAAATCCAACAAAACACTGAAAATCCGCAACAAGAATTGATGTGGGGGTAGTCACTGAGCGCGAGACAATGGTAAACTGAGGGGCAGCGGGGCAGAGGGGCGACGATCGCCGAACCACCACGCGCTAGGTCGGCTGTACGCGTATCAACAAACTCGCGTCCAAACTCGCCTCCCGAAGTAACCATCGCCTTCCGAGACAAATTTTTGGAGTAAATACACCTCGCCTTCCGAAAACCTCGCATACAGGGACAATCGCATTCCGAGGTACCACTGTATTAGGTTTACGAGTTTTAACCTAGCCAGACATACTGTATATGGCAATGATGGACTTGCTCCTCAATATTTTAATTAAAAGATTATTACTTTTCAACAAATTTTTCATTTTTTGTTAAAACTAGTATTAACAGCATTCAAAGGATTTTGTCTTTTATATATGTACAGTATCAGAATCACATAATAACACTAATTTTTTCTGTGTAGTCACTTTTTTGTTTATAATTACATCATTTAATTTGTCTGCTTTAATACTGTAATTTTTAATTTTTTTAATTTTTTTCAAAAGCTTTAAAGAATCTCTATATATAGTTTGGCAATATAGTTTTAGACATTGCACCATACACTATACATTCTCATATATTGATCATCATCAATTGGCAAGTTACTGTTGATTTTGTCCCAAGTTACAAAAATGTTTAGCTATTTCAATACTATAGTTCTTGTGGCACTGAAACTTGGCCATAACCAACAGCTGTAGTGGTGTTTTTGTCCAAGACTGTATCAGACAAATTTATAAAAAAAATATGCTATGAGCATGTTTTGTTCGGTCACTATTTTCTATGTCCACTTAATCATCTCGCCTTCAAGTCACCTTCATTATTGATATTTTAGCTTATGGATTTTTGGTCTGGTGTAGTTGGGTATATAATCCCAAACTCTTATGTCATCTGTCTGTACTTCCTTGATAATGTGTTGAAACACGAAAATGTTCGGGATTTTTGTTAAATTTTTCCTAGTGGATTCTTACGCATAAGCGAATAACATATTTTTTTGTGATTATTCTTGCATATGTATGTATATAATGTAATGTAAAGTTAGTAGAGATGCTAACTGGAATGTGTTTCACCAGGAGAAGGGGACGAGCCTACCAGCCATCCGCCTCAACAAGCGCCCCTCACGAGGAATGCTCAAGCACATCCTCACACAGATCTACAACCATGCCGTCGTTGACCCTGAGAAACTCAATCAGTACGAGCCTTTTTCACCTGAGGTAAGACACTGAAGTCTCCAGTGTAATCCTTTACTTGCGACACAGTACATATGGCTTACCTGTGTGGTTTTAGTTTTTTTTTCCTGTAACTAAATTCGTTAGTCTAAACCCAACCAAAAGCCAGAGTTCATTGGTAATTAATTGGTTCATACGTGGAGTGGGTTCTGGGAGTTCTGTTTGCATTACTTGGCTGCTGTCTCAAATGCCTGTAGCTTGCTTTTTGCAAACGTAACTGCAATAAAAACCTTATTAATTTGCTAACATTAAGTACAGAATTTTGTAACATGACAATATTTGAGCAATTATATTATATAAGTTAAGTTTTGTTATGGATACATTTTCTTGTATTGTCCAAAATGAAGATGTGATTAATCAATAAAAGGAGAGAGAGAGAGGTATCACTTCCCTGAAAGCTCCAACTAACTTTTTTTCAGAATTTGATTTTGGAATTGTCATACAGTATTAATGTAAGAATTTTGGTAAATATTTATGAAATGTTAGGTGACAGAGTAACTGATGATTTGACAAGTTAAAAAATGAGGGAATACAGAGAACATATACGGCACACATAGACGCGATAAAGCACCTAAATTATTGGGATCGTTTCAAAGCTCTCCAAATGTACTCACTAGAAAGGAGACGAGAGAGATAACAAATAATATACATATGGAAAATACTGGAGGGCCAGGTCCCAAATCTACACAGTAAAATAACATACTGGAGTGAATGATATGGAAGAAAATGCAGAATAAAACCAGTGAAGAGCAGAGGTGCCATAGGCACAATCAGAGAACACTATAAACATCAGAGGTCTGCGGTTGTTCAACACCCTCCCAGCAACTATAAGAAATATTGCCGGAACAACCGTCGACATCTTCAAGACAAAACTAGACTGTTTTCTAAAAGAAGTTCCAGACCAACCGGGCTGTGGTGGGTATGTGGGCCTGCGGGGCCGCTCCACACAACAGCCTGGTGGACCAAACTCTTCACAAGTCAAGCCTGACCTTGGGCCGGGCTTGGGGAGTAGAAGAACTCTCAGAATCCCATCAAGCAGGTATGAGAAATATTACAAAATGTGGCAGTCACTAGTGTGCATGGAGTTATGGCAACTGTTATGCACGTCAAATGCATAAATTACATAACTGCAACAGCATCACAATGGGGAGTCTTTATATTAAACAGCAAATTTACTCATTGGAAACTGCATTGTAAAGAAGCCATTATTGCTGCTGTCACAACGCTGGCTGTTGGAAATGAACATGTTGATAAGTTTGGTATTATTTTTGGGGAAGCCCCTTCAGCTCCCCGGAGCTAACCGGGCTGATATGAATGTATTAGACTATGGCATCAGTCAGTGCACATGGAGTTCTAAGGCCTACAGGAGACCACGAGCCAGAACCTTGGCCCCCTCAGAGAGGCTCGAGGAGCAATGGCCTATAAAAACCTGTGTGGTTGGAAGCATTCTATGTCTGCCATCGACTGGATCAAGTACCCAGAAAGGTAAGTGCCCCAAAACAAGGGGCGCTTACCGAGGTTTGTGCCTCGGAGAGGCTGCAGGATCCAGTAAGTTCAGTAGAACTTTGGTTTCAACACTTTTTACCATGTTGTAGCTCAGCCGATCAAGGCAGCATCTGGGATGCTCCCGGATGTAGGTTCAAATCCTCGTCACGGCCCTTTTGGATTTGTTCTGTCTATGGCTTTTTCAAAATCCAGTGGGGGATAGGGTGACATCTGATATATGATTTGATGTTGGCATCACATCCATGAAAAATTCATTTGGATTATCAATTTTTAGTGTGTTTAGTGACTCGCTGAAAACAGAGTTGTACTGATTCCTCAGTATTTCGTTCATTTCTTTGTTGTCATCAGTGAAAGTTCCATCTCTGTCGCAGGAGTCCAACACTAGATGTAGTTTTTTATCTTGATTTTGCATAAGAGAAAAAATATTTTGGATTTCTCTCTACTGTATTTCACTGGTGGCCTTTTGCTCTCTCTGTCTCTTGGATTTTGTATGATTCTTGTAGCTTTAGTTCAATCGTTAGCATTTCTCTTTCTAGCCGCCTTCATCATTCTTGAGATAGGGTGTGACTCTAAAGTTGTTCCATGACTCATTTTCTATGCCTATAGAGGGAACGACGTTCCTGTTCCAGTTTGCATTTCTTCCTCCTTTTTCGTAGGGGGTATGCGATTTGAGCATATTTCTAGAGCTACTGAGTTTATTTTTTCCAGGCATTGGTTCAGGTTTGCATTTCCTAGCAGTTCTTCCCAGCTTAATTATGTGAAGTCTTTGTTTATTTGCTCTTAGTTAATCTGTTTATTATTAAGATTGAATTTGTTGAATTTTCTTCCCCCTGGGACTCGGGATTGGTTGTGTAGGTTATCTTGAGGTTATCTTGAGATGATTTCGGGGCTTTAGTGTCCCCGCGGCCCGGTCCTCGACCAGGCCTCCACCCCCAGGAAGCAGCCCGTGACAGCTGACTAACACCCAGGTACCTATTTTACTGCTAGGTAACAGGGGCATAGGGTGAAAGAAACTCTGCCCATTGTTTCTCGCCGGCGCCTGGGATCGACCCCAGGACCACAGGATCACAAGTCCAGCGTGCTGTCCGCTCGGCCGACCGGCTCCCTAAAGGTTACCCCCATGCTTGTCTGAACTTCAGTTAAGTTGTGATCTGAGTAACAGGTATTTGTAATCATTATGTTCCCGATCAGTTCATCACTATTAGTGAAAATGAGGTCCAGCGTGTTCTCCTTCCTAGTTGGTTCTACTATTTGCTGGTTTAAGGCAAACCTGTCGCACATTCTTAGCAGGTCATTTGCATGTGTCTGTTCATTCTTCCTGGTATTCATCTGATATTACTGTATTAGCCGGGTACTTCTATTTCAGGTGCCGTAGGTTAAAGCCCCCAAGCAGGATGATGTTTGGGGCTGGATTTGTGAAGTTTTTCAAGCAGTGATCTATTTTCATTAGTTGGTCTTTAACCTGCTGATGATTTGCCTTTGGTGACTTATATACAAGGACAATACCTACATAACAACAGGAGTTACTCGTGACCCACTGAGGGGTTACTCGTGACCCACTGAGGGGTTACTCGTGACCCACTGAGGGGTTACTCGTGACCCACTGAGGGGTTACTCGTGACCCACTGAGGGGTTACTCGTGACCCACTGAGGGGTTACTCGTGACCCACTGAGGGGTTACTCGTGACCTACATGAAGATATACAGTAGTTTATCTCCATGTAGATATCTCTGTCATAAATATTTCTCAGTTTACCAAGAGAATATTTGCTAATATTTATTATTTTGTTGTACATTGTTTTATGTTTGTATTTATACAGCTGCTGTTTTTATTATTGGAAAAGTAATTGCTTGTGCTATTGTTGTCTTTGAAGGGTAAGGGAGGTTGTCACTTGTGTAGCAAGTTTATTTTAACACGATTATTCTTGGTTCATTGTGCATTCCCGAGTCCTTGGCAAGTTTTCTAAATATTTCACACAACTTTATGGGGCTTTCTTAAGTGTTTTTCATTTATATTTATATTAAGTTATGATGCAGGTTGCTGAAACAGTGAGTCACAATAACTTTCTGGAAAACTAATGTGAAATGTACTTGTATACATAAAATGTGTGGCTTGCGTGTCTAATTGTGATTATTAATTGATATATTTTTGTTTAGGTTTATGGGGAGACATCATTTGAGTTGATATGCCAGATGATAGATCAGATCCACATCACTGAAGATGACATGTTTGTTGATCTTGGCTCTGGCGTAGGTCAGGTTGTGCTACAGATGGCTGCCTTAACGCCGTGCAAAATATGCGTTGGTGTTGAAAAAGCTGAAACGCCATGCAAGTAAGTGGATGAAAAAAATGTACCCCTCCATGCTTGGATTAGGCATTCTCCTATTAATAATAATAATAATAATAATAATAATAATAATAATTTCATCTTATAGTTTACAATTTAATATCTTGAATGCTTCATTGTATTAACTTGAAAACTAAAATACAGTACTTAAGTTTGGGCAAAGCATTAGCATTGTATTTGTTTACCTTAGTTGCTGATTTAAAAAAATAAAAAGTGCTTTACTCTTAATACAAGAGTTCCATGAGAAGTTATTTTATTGATGATAGTAATATATACCACTTTATGGTAGGCACTAGCTGATGAAATATAAGAAGTAATTTGGGTAAGGTATATTTTAGGTCACATATTCTGTACTGTATTTAAGCATATGGAATTATCTATGAAATGTACTTTCATTTTGAGAATTGTAGTGTACTCACCTAGTTGTACCCACCTAGAACTTGATAGGGGCCTGGCAGCCGAGTCCCCCTACGCTTGGGATTCGCAGTCCTGAGGTCCTGGGTTTGATTCCCGGTGGAGGCGGAAACAAATGGGCAGAGTTTCTTTCAACCTGATGCATCTGTTCACCTAGCAGTAAATAGTTACTTGGGAGTTAGACAGCTGAATTCTGAATTAATTCTGAATCCCTTCTGGTAGTTCGTTAAAGTAGATGATAAACTTTACAGGTGCAAGAACTGAACCCTGTGGTACTCCGCTAGTAACACTCCTCCAGTCAGATACATTGTATCTGATCACTCCCCTCATTTGTCTGTCAGTCAGAAAATTTTTATCCATGTCAGAAATCTACCTGTCACCCCTCAAGCGTGTTCCAGTTTCCAGAACAGCCTCTTGTGCTGGACTTTGTCAAAAGCTTTTTTAGGTCCAGATAGACACGTCCTTTAGGTCCTTTAATTTACACGTAGAAAATAGTAGAGGGGCTGGTCCCAAACCTGCACACAGAAATAACACCACATGAGATCATTAGGCATGGCAGGATGTGCAGAATGCTCCCACTAAAAGCAGAGGTGCAATAGGTACGCTGAGAGAGAACTATCAACATCAGAGGCCCGAGACTGTTCAACACGCTTCCACTACACCTACGTGGCATAACTGGCCGACCCCTCACAGTGTTCAAGAGAGAACTGGATAAACACCTCCAAAGGATACCTGATCAACCAGGCTGTGACTCATACGTCAGGCTGCGAGCAGCCAAGTCCAACAGACTGAGTGACCAGTCCAGCAACGAGGAGACCTCGTTGATGACTGGGCCACAGGGATGCTAAGCCCCAAAATCATCTCAAGGTAAAAGATAAAGATGGGAGACGCAGGCGATTGTCATGCCCTTCAAATTGATCTAGATAAAATTAGTGCTTGGAGCATCAAGTGGCAAATGGAAATCAATGTGAATAAATGCCAGGTTATGGAACGATGAAACAGAAAATAGACCATACACAGCTTACAAATTAGTGGAAAGGAATTAAAGAACTCTAATAAAGAATGAGACCTAGGTGTGGTTTTGGTCAGTATACTGTCACCAGAGGAACACACAAAGAACAGTGTGAGAGGAGTGTATGAATCCCTTTCCAACTTCAGACTTGCTTTTAATTATATTGATGGTGAAATACTAAAGAAATTGTTCATGTCTTTTGTGAGACCAAAATTGGAGCATACAGCACTTGTCTGGTGGCCATATCTTAAGAAGCACATAAATAAACTGGTAAAGGTACAAAGGCATGCTACAAAATTACCTCAGGAACTGAAAGCCAAGAGTTACAAGGATAGATAAAGTTATTTTACATGCCAAAACTTCAGTAGAAGATAAAAAAAAGAGGTGATATGATCACTACCTACAAAATACTAACAGGAATTGACCAAATTGACAAAGGATTTTCTGAAACCAGCAACTTCAAGAATGAAATGACACAGATTCAAGCTAAGAAAACAAAAGTGCCGAAAGTATTAGAAAGTTTTCTTTTGCAAACAGAGTGGTAGACGGTTGGAGCAAGTTAGAGGTGGTGGTGGAGGCCAAAACCGTCAGTAGCTTCAAAGTGGTATACAACAGAGTATTGGGAAGACGGGACACCTCGATTGTAGCTCTCATCCTGTAACTACACTTAGGTAATTACTGCTATTTCTTATTCTTAGCACAAATATAGACAAAGATACTAGTCACAGCTTCGTGTCATCCTTTGCAGTTGATTAAAAAATCAGCATGAAATTTCTTTTATAGAAGACACAAAAGGGCAGTATGGTTAAGACAGTATTGCTTGTATAACTATAAGTCGATATCAATAAAGTCTTCGATTGAGCAATGGAAAATAACATGATGTTTAATGGTGATAAGTTCCATGTACTGTACTTGAGTATGGTGGAAATATGGAACTTAAATGAAATAAAGGGTAAAGAACACAATAAGACTTACTCACAGAAAGAAAGGAACGTGTGAAAGATTTCTTTATGTACAAGATCTGGGAATATGGATTTTTGACACCCTGACATTTATTGAATGCAAATATAGTGGCAGCCAGGAAAATGATTGGTGGATTATTAGACCTTTCAAATCCAGAGATCCCACAGCAATGCTAATACACCATCAGTGGTGCTGTCCTGTCTAGAGTACTGCTCAATACTCATTTCCCTTTTCAGAGCGGGAGAAATTTCTTGAAATAGAGTAGAAGGAATACAGAGAACCTATACGGCATGCATAGAAATGACAAAACGTCTAAATTATTGGGACCATCTTAAAGCTCTCAAAATGTTCTTAATGGAAAGGAGACAAGAAAGGTATCAAATAATATATACTCAACATGGAAGTTATTGGAGGGCTTGGTCCCAAATTTGCACAATCGAATAACAACATACTGGAGCGAAAGATATGGAAGGGAATGCAGAATAGAACCAATGAGGAGTAGATGGGCCATAGGCACGATCAGAAAGCACTGAACATCAGGGGGTCCACGGCTCTTCAATACCCTCCCAATCAAGCATTAGAAATATTGCTGGAACAAAGATGGATATCTTCAAGAAGCATTTAGATAAGGTCTTGCAAGAAGTGCCGGACCAACCGGGTTATTGTGGGCCTGCGGACTGCTCCAAGCAACAGCCTGTTGGACCAAGTTATCACAAATCGAGCCTGGTCTCGGGCAGAGCTTAGGGAGTAGAAGAACTCCCGAAACCCGCTTCAGGTATGTGCCTGGTATGGTGCCCATATCTCAGGAAGCACATCAATATACTGGAAAAAGTGCTAAAAGGCTTGCTACAAAATGGCTTCCAGAAGTTAACACAAGAATAATGGAGAGGTTGGAGGTGTTAAATATGCCAAAGCTAGAAGATAGACAAAAAAGAGGTGATATGATCTCCACTTATAAAATAATAATTGACAGGATTGCCTGAAACTGACAGTCTCAAGAACAAGAGATCATAGATTCAAGCTAAGGAAACAAAGGTGCTGAGAAAGTATTAGAAAATTTTCTTTTGCAAACCGAGTGGTAGATTGTTGCAACAAGTTCAGTGAGAAAGTAGTTGACGCCAAAACTATCAGTAGTTTCAAAGTGTTATATGACAGAGTTCTAGGAAGGTGGGGACCACAAGCATAGTTCTCATCCTGTAACTAGTAGTAGTAGGCATCCTTCAGTCTCGGGAGACTATGGAGTTGCGCCCTGGTTGTCAATCCTGGTGCAGCGTCTGGTGTGACTGATGAGGCCAATCCGAGAGTGGCAGTCCATCCCACACCGAGCACAAACGAAGTCCGATTCTGGTCTGTCTTCCTGGCTACCGGCTTTCCTTTTCTGTCTCTTTGCCTCCGATTCCTTGGCAAGTGACTCCTCGAACTTGGAGAGACCTCTTTGAACAGACTGCCCCCAGGCTGAACGGTCTGTGGCCAGTATTTCCCACGTAGCAAGATCGACGTCTATGGTTTTCAGGTCCCTCTTGCATACGTCTTTGTACTGTAGCTGGGGCTTGCTTGTTGGACGCTTTCCCTGCATCACCTCTCCGTACATGAGATCCTTGGGGATCTTGCCGTCGCCCATTCGCACAACGTGCCCAAGCCAGTGCATTCGTCTCTGTTTCAGCATTGTGTACATGCTGGTGATTCTTGCTCTCCCCAAGATGATGATGTTTGTCACCTTGTCCTGCCAGGTGATGTCCAAGATGTGTCGAAGGCAACGCATGTGGTAGGCATTCAGCTGTCTTTCCTGACGGGCGCGAAGTGTCCAAGACTCGCTGCCATAAAGGAGAGTGCTCAGGACACAGGCTCTGTAAACCTGAATCTTAGTATACTCAGTCAGCCTATTGTTGGCCCACACACTCTTTGTCAATCTGGACATGGTAGTAGATGCCTTGCCGATGCGTTTGTTTAGCTCCGTATCAAGAGAGAGGGAGTCAGAGATTGCGGAGCCCAGGTACACGAAGTCGTGAACGACTTCCAGTTTGGAATCGGAGATGCCGATGTCAGGTGGGGAGTCCACTCCTTGTCCCGTGACTTGTGTTTTCTTCAGACTGATGGTGAGTCCGAAAGCCTGAGAGGCCTCGCTGAAGAGGGTCATGAGCCGTTGGAGGTCTTCGGCTGAGTGGGCAGTGGCTGCTGCGTTGTCGGCAAAAAGGAAGTCGCACAGACACCTCAGCCGAACCTTCGTCTTGGCTCTCAGCCTGGCGAGGTTAAAGAGCTTTCCATCCGACATGGTCTGGAGGTAAATGCCTTTCGTGACAGATCCGAAGGCGTGCTGCAGCATAACTGCGAAGAAAATCCCAAATAGGGTTGGAGCCAGTACGCAGCCCTGCTTTACTCCACTTTGGATGTCAAAGGCGTCTGATGTTAGGCCATCAAAGACCACGGTGCCCCTCATGTTCTCATGGAAAGATCTGATGATGCTGAGGAGCCTGGGTGGGCATCCGATCATGGGGAGGATCTTGAACAGGCCATCCCTGCTGACGAAGTCGAAGGCCTTCGTCAGATCTATGAAGGCTACGAAGAGTGGCTGCTTCTGTTCCCTGCATTTCTCCTACAGTTGTCTGAGGGAAAAGACCATGTCGATGGTGGACCTGTCAGCTCTGAATCCGCATTGTGATTCTGGATGGACTCTCTCTGCAAGTACTTGGAGCCTCTTCAATGCGGCTCGAGCAAACAGCTTTCCAACAATACTGAGGAGGGAGATTCCACGGTAGTTGCTGCAGTCGCCCCTGTCACCTTTATTCTTATACAGCGTGACGATGTTGGCATCCCTCATGTCCTGTGGCACCTCTCCTTCTTCCCAGCAGAGGCAGAGAATTTCATGCAGCTCCATGAGCAGGCTACCTCTGCAGCACTTCAAGGTCTCAGCAGGAATGCCATCTTTGCCAGGAGCTTTACCAGAAGCAAGGAAGTCTAGGGCATCGCTGAGTTCTTTGAGGGTCGGTTCGCTGTCGAGCTCCAATAACACAGGCAGACACTCAATGTCGCTCAGAGCGTCTTCGGTGACCACATTGTCCCTGGCGTATAGCTCAGAGTAGTGCTCGACCCAGCGCTTCAGCTGCAGTGTCTGGTCCTGAATCACCTCGCCAGTGGCAGATTTCAGAGGAGCGGTCTTCTTCTGGATTGGGCCGAGGGCCTGCTTGATGCCGCCATACATTCCCCTTACATTGCCTGTATCCGCTGCAGTCTGTATCTGGGAGCAGAGCTGGAGCCAATAGTTGTTGGCACATCGCCTGGCGCTCTGCTGCACTTTACAGCGGACGGCCCAAAGTAACTACACTTGGGTAATTACACTTAGGTAATTTATAATTGGGAATGTTTTCATATAAAACTACAGTACATTAATTACATAAGAGTGAATCACAATAATAGCTTAGCATGTAGATATTTTCATTATCCAAATCAGAATCAGAAACTTTTTCATAACAACTTACACATATTATATGCCTACCAGGCCAGTTATAGTGGAAACAGTTTTAAAACCAGACTAAGCAAGAATCAGACTAACTGTTGGTCGGTAGAGGTGTTGAACTGTCGGATGCTTAGGTGAAGTGTGTGTGTACCATTCCTGTAAGAGGTATGAAAGCTGTGGTCAAAGATGCCGTTATTAAGAGTAAAATACACGAGACCAGATGGGCTAGAGTACCTTACTTTACCTTTATTTTGAGGTGGTTCCGATGCACAGTGTCCCAGTGAACTAGTCTCCGATTGGGCCTCTTGATTTACAACCTGGTCAACCAGTCTGCCAATTAATCATATACTCTCTGGAGAAACTTCTTTAGTAGCTACCTTCTGATGAGGAAAACTAAGGCTGTCTTGTACCTCATTTGTGGCAGTGATGTAGCAGTAATTCATATACCCAGATCAAGTATTACATTTTATGCAAGTAATGTCTTGTTTATATTTTGTGTTATTTGCAGATATGCAACTGAAATGGACCGATTATATACTAAATGGATGAGATGGTATGGCAAAAAGCACAGTGATTATAAGCTGATGAAAGGTGACTTCTTGAAGAAAGAGCATCGTGAAGGAATTACTGGTTCTTCCATTGTGTTTGTCAACAACTTTGCTTTTGGGCCAAATGTAGACCATATGCTCAAGGAGGTGTTTGCAGACCTTAAAGATGGAGCTCGAATAGTCTCTTCAAAATCATTTTGTCCTCTAAACTTTAGAATAACTGATAGAAATTTAAGTGGTAAGTATATTTTAGTATAAAAAGTTGGAATTTAATCTCATTAATTTTGTAATCTTTATTTATAGTCATAGTCAAGCATTGTCTTTTCTTCATTAAGTACTATGTAGCTGTTATAGAAATTGTAACCGTCATATTTCATACACGACACTTATACTGAACATGCATTTTCCTTCTGTTATTCATCCCTATTTTTACTCACTTCATTGTCCGGGTATACTGTACTTTTAAGTGTGTTCGGTCATAGTTGTGTATAGTTATACTGTTGTCGGGGACTGGTGTTCTGTTGTTGCAACCCGTTCTCACACTTGCTTACAGTCAATATTGGCTTATTTAATAAGTGCATATGTGACATACTAATTGATTGTGAATATTTTAGTTTACCTTGAAAAGCTTCATAGAAAACACCGACCTCACCTAACCTTCTTAGTATGTTAAGATAAGCATCTTATTGCTTCTTATTTACAATTATTACTTAACCTATCAATTGTATAGGTTACAATTTTCCTCCTCCTCCTCCTTTGCTAGATGTCATCATGAACATCTCGGCTATGGGTTGGGGCTTGGTGACCATTGCTCACCAGTCCGGCCTAGGTCATTGGCCTTCGCTTCATCGGGCTCACAGCACAGTGTGTGAATCTGCAGCATTGTGGTAGGCCCTGTGAAGAGTTCGAATTCCTCCAAGCTCGGTGATCTGGCTCCATTCGGACTGTTCCCCTGTGGTTTCTTGTCAACCGAGGAAGGGAGGGTCTCTTTAGTCCGGGGCTCATTGGGGCTGGTCACTTTGGGTAGCTCTTCTGCTGAGTTTTCTGGGTTTTCATTTCCATGCCATTCATGTTCTAAAAGTGTCCAACATCTTGGCCAACGGTCTATCTCACTTCCTTCCTCTTTCCACGGAATGGACTGTCGACGCCGATTCCTTCCTCTGGCTTTGTCGGACGTTTGGGTGCCCGGACATCAACCTCTGTGTGACAGTGTGGTTTCGGTGTCTGCCTCTTTACGCTGCACCATTTCCCAATTGCGAGGCCTTTCCTGACTGTGGATGCCTTTCGGCTGAACTGGTTGAGGTGGGGGGATGCATTTACATTTTTCCCCAGTTCGGCTGTTGCACCGGGTGCTGGCACGGCTGGAGTCTTTCAGGGGAAGAGTGGTGGTTCCTTGGTAGCTGGCTCAGCCTTGATTTCAAGCACTGCCTGCTTGGTGTCTGCACACAGGTGTCTTTTTGCGGCTCTGCCTCTATCAGAAGGATGGGTGGATGACGTACCTTGCTGATGCGGACTTCTCTTCTGCATTTCCCGTCTGGGCTTTTTGACTCGTATTTATCACCATTTGCATAGTGATCGGGTGACAAGTTTGATGATGTCCTACCTGCGGTCTTATTCTCAGCAACAGTATGTGGTGTCTTTGTGGTCTTTTCGCCATTTTCTCTCCCTCGTCGTTATCCTTCAGTTTCAGACCAGGTTGTTCTGTCCTTTCTTGGTGTTTCCTTGATAAGCATCTTATGCCTAATACTGACGCTTCTTATTGTGCGACATTGGCAGAACTACTACTGTTTGCATTCTGAGTGGATGTGGCTTCAGCTCTGTTTTGCAAGCTTCCTCGTGCTTTGTTTCACCTCCAGCCTGCTCATGCGCTGCCTGAGCCTTCCTGGTCTTTGGACAGGGTTCTTTCTTTTCTTTCTTCAGCCTGATGTACTGTGGCCCTTTTGATCTGGAATTGTTTTTGGAAAGCTTTGTTTTTTTTTATATCCTTAGTCTCCAGTTGTTGGGTTGGTGAGCGTCATGCTCTCCTCTAGCACTTTGGTTTTTGTTCCTTTGGTCCTGAGAGTCGTTTTGTTCGTTTGCAGCCGGCTCCTTTTTTTCTGGCGAAGAATGAGATGGCAGGCTTCCAGAGGGGTCCCTTGGCTGGTTCAGCCTAGTGTGTATCATGTGCTTTGTCAGGTGGCGGCTTAACGCCGCTACCTTTGAGCCACCGGTTCTGTTTCAGTGGACTCATTGTGGGATGATTTGGTTTCTCTGGTTCCCTGTTCCAGAGTTAGTTTTTTAGGCTGTCCACAGTGTCAATAAAGCTAGGCATCGTGCAGTCTACTCTCATGCTCATGATGTTTGCGGATATTCTGCCTTGTTGGCTGTGTTTGATAATATATCATGGGCCGTTATTCGGGCATGGCGGTTTTGGGGATCTAATGGGGTCCCAGGTTGCCCAACAGATAAGTTGTCCTTGTACTCGGCGGCCTTGTGTTGCCCTGGGGCGTCTGTTGCAGCCTTCGGTCTCGGCTTTGAGTTGATATCTGTGATGCTCCTGCCTCCCATATAAGTTCCCAATTTTGTCTTTCTCTGTGGAAAGTTAGCTTCAGGGTGCCGATGGGGCTCCCCACAAAAAAAAACAGGGTTGAATGTAATGAAACACCGATTTCTGGGTGAGCCCCAGATGGTTCCTGACACCCTCCCTTCCCTAGGTCAGGTTTGTGTTTCTCACTAAAAAACTGAAGTTGGCCAGGCCGGCCAGGCTCCTCCCTCCCCCCTGGGGGGGGGGGGGGGGGTCAGGGTGGTGGAGCTAAATAGCAAAGGGCTAGTTTCACTAAGTTTTGGTTGTTTCTTTTCTTTTTTGGGGGAGATCTTTTGGCATTTTAAGGGCTTCGGTCTCATTTTTAAACCAGGCAGTCTACTATTTTTATTTGCCTATCTTTCTGGGTGCCTTCCCTGGTGATGGCAAAGATGATATCCCTTAAATGTCCATCGCTTCCTGTGCCTCTGTGAGGGAGCCAGGTTCTGGCTCTTGGTTCCCGGTAGGCAAAAATAACTCCACAACTGATGACACTAGGTAGTATGGCACTCTTAATCAGTGATGATAGCTTCAGGGAGCCTCAAGGACTCATGCTGAAACTGGCATTTCACTACATTCAACACTGGTTTTTTTCATAGCCACTGTCCAAAGGTTTACATTTTTAGGCAGTCCAGTAAGTTAGATGTTTTATTTCATGGATTCTAGCCGTAACAGATCTTTGCACATTCTCTAGGTCAGCAACTTTTTCAGTTTTGAGGCTGGAAAAGGCTGTTGCTGAGGCTGTTAGTGTGCAGTAAGAGTCCACTCTAGAGAGCACTAATGTCTTAAAGAGTATTATGACTGGCATGTCATCTTTTGTTTGGAAGGTTCTTGTTATCCAACCTGTCATTTTTCTTGCAGTTGTGACGGCAGCTTTGTTGTGTTCATTACAAGTGATTGTAATGAATCGACGTGATTACTCCTAAATTTTTGACATAGCTTTTTCTTTCAATATTATGGTTTGACTGTTTTATATGTGGTTTCTGCTTTGATATTTTCTTTGTTTCCATAGTGCAGTAAGTGGAACTTATGCTCATTAAACATCATGCTATTTTCTGTGGCCTCATGAAAATTCTAGTGTCATCTGCAAAGCATGATACACTGCTATAGTTTGTATCCCTGTCTGTCTGATATCAGGATGAGGAAAAGTACCAGAGCAAACACTGTACCTCGGGGGACTGAGCTTTTCACAGTGGAGGATTCAGATTTTACTTTGTTGATTATTACAGTTTGGGTTCTGTATGTTAGGAAGTTAAAGATCCATCTCCCTGCTTTGCCAGTAATTCCTTTTGTGTGCAATAACACCATGGTCATATTTGTCAAAGGTTTGTGCAAAATCTATGTTTTTCAGTGTTTTCTTTGTTTTCCATGACATCTAAGGCCATGTAATAGTGATCTAGCAATTGTGAGAGGCAGGAGGCCCCTGTTCTGAACCCATATTGCCCAGGGTTATGTAGACACTATGATTCCATGTGTTTTGTGATCCTACTTTTTAGCACGCTTTCAAAGTGTTCAAGATGTGCGATGTTAGAGTTGTTGGTCTATAATTTTTGCATCAGCTTTACTACCTCCTCTCTGAAGTGGCATAATCTCTGATGTTTTAAGTATGTCAGGAATAACACCAGAATCTAGGCTCTGTCTCCAAAAGATGTTAAGGGCCTGTGATAGTGTTTTTTTGCAATTTTTGATGAATGTAGAATTCCAGGAGTCTGGGCCTGGTGCAGAGTGCACGGGCATGCTGTACATGACTACTTCAGAGTTAAGGGGGTTAGGTGACATGTGATACATGATTCGATGGTGGTGTCACATTCATAAATAATTCGTTTAGGATATTGATCTGCAATGTGTTCCCTTCCTCTGGCTGCAGCATTGCCATCTGTTGGTGTTGTTGGCCCAGGGTGACTTGGCTGTTGCTCGAGCAGTTGTACAGAAACCTGAACTTTGTCTGCATCGTCTTTTCCTCTGGGCTAGGTTGGCTTTGATGGCTCTTGTGGCATCTCCACAGCAGTCTTGTTTCATTGCCACCGCAATCAATGGGTGTGTGCCTCGGTGACCTTTCACCACTGCTGCGTTGCCAGCTTTCCTCTTTAGGCCTTTCGAGATTCTGTTTCCTGGTGCCGAATCCCGAAATTCTGGTCAATTTATCAGAGGTAGTGAGTGATTGGCTAGTTCCAGTACAAGGCTTCAAACCTATATGCCATCATGGCTACCTACCCTAGTTGTTGGTTGCAGTACATTGTTGTCAGCAATATTTTCTGTCTCCAAATGACTTATGAATCCTGTTGTTCTATTCTTCTTCCTCCTTCTAAATCTCTTATTCTTATTATCTATGGAAGAAACATGATGAAATCTCAAGAATGTGATGTTTCTAAGAGAAAATATTGAGGTGGTAGAATTGGATTGAACCTTTTTCTCTCGACTCCTCAGACTTCTTACGTAACTTTAAAATGTGTTTGTTTCAACATAGAAGACTACCTGCTATGAGCAGGAGTGTACGTCCCCTAGGCTTTGAGTAGCAGTATACTTCCTTTAATGCTCTTATTATGATTGATGACATTGTAAATTATAGCAAGAAATGCAGATATTACATCCAGCAAAACTTATTTTGTATGAATTGTACATTAATTAAAAAATTCTGAATATATTTGTTTAAGGATTTTGTCATTAAAGAATTAAAAATAACAGTTGATTTTGCCTTAATCTTAAAAGTACTATATTTCATTTAGCCTGTTATATTTTTTCATGTGATATATAAATTACATTTTAACATTATTAAATTTGTTTTATTGTGTTGCAGATAGCAAGGTATATTTACTTTTTAGAATGATTTATTGTTAAGCATATTTGATGGTAATTTAGTTTCTCCCTGCTCTAAACAGATATTGGCACCATCATGCACGTGTCGGAACTGTCCCCACTCAAGGGTTCAGTGTCTTGGACAGGGAAGCCTGTATCCTACTTCCTTCACATTATTGATCGTACCAAGGTAAATGCCCACATGGGAAACTTGTGCTTGGAGATCTTCCATGCTCCATTACCTCAAAGCAGATAAGTAATGTCTAATGACCTCCCATCTCTCCTCTGCCCCCCCGCCCTCCCTACTTCCTTGCCCATCATTTTATCCACATAACAACACTTTACATGCTCTTGACCTTTAATATAAGATCTGAATCTGATTTCCTCTCTCTCACTCACTCACATATTATTTCTTTGTTTACTCTTGAGATTACTGATCATTTCTTATATAGTGCTTCTCATTTATTAGTACAGTAGTAGTTTTTGGAGCAAAGTAGAGAGAAAAACTTTGACGAAGTCTTGAAATAAGTACAGTACGGTACTTAATTCTTCAAATATTAAGAGCTTATCGTTACTATAACTGTTGCAAGTGTTGACAAGTTTTCTCTATGAGGAAGTAGTTGGGAGCTTTGTTGTTAAACTATCTGTAGTATGCTAATGGAAACAATTTTGGCCCTTGCTGCTTTACATAACAACCATTGACAATTACTTAAACTAAAACTACATTTTATTTACCATGTGAATTGTTGTTGTCTCAACTTATTAGAAAACTTCTATATTTGAAAGAGTATGAAGTAAACATTTTGCAATTTTCAGAGTATACCCTGGAAACACAAACCGTAACTGTCTCTATTTTCTGCTTGTTACAACTTGTAATAAAGTTGTTACATCTTGGCTTAACGTGTTTATGACGTATTAGAACATTGTTACAACTTGCTATATTGGTTGTTATAACTGGTTAGGAGGGAGGTGTTAAAACTCGTTCGAACGTCGTACCAACGTCGTAGTTTCTGTGTGTGTTTGGCGGGTAATGTTTATTGACAAGATGGCAATATATGTTATTTTATGCTCTATACAGTTCTTATTTTGTTGTGTAGAGTAGACACGAGTTAGTTAGCTTGTGCAGTCATTCAGCATGTAATGTTAAGCAGCAAAAGTAGTCATAGTAATATTTTGTTATATATATTTAGTTGTCAGTCCATACTTTTATACCCAAGAACTGGTTGGGACATCCTTATCTTATGGAACATTTTCTAGTGCAATATATATATATATATATACACCAGTCATCACTGCATTTTTGTTTATTTAATTGTTGTAGATACTGGATATATAATGGAAAATGTTTGCTCAATATTTTTGCACTACTAAATAGTGGGTATGTTTTTCTCTGATGTTTTTTTTATATTAAAAAAAACAGCATTGAATGTTATAAAATGCTTCTTTTTCGATGAGCCTCGATGGGTTTCTTGCTGAGATGGCGTCCAACTGCTAGGTTAAATTAGTCAGGAAGTTCTGTTTGGCTGGGGACCAGAACCTGCCACCTCCCCCCCCCCCCCCCCTCCTAACAAAGGCACAGAGAGCAGGTGACACTCTGCCACTCCACCAGGAAAACATCTAAAAAGTCAACAAACCAATAATTACCACTGCTGTTATCAAAGGAACCAAAGCCTCAAAACCACCAAATGAATAACCCAACCAATGTAAACAAATGACTGAATCTCAAAATTAGTGCAAGCTCGTCAGCACGCTCCAAGTCGCTCCCAGCCTTCCTAGCCAGTTCTGGAGCAGATGTGAGGAGTACACATACACCAACTGACAAACCTTGGGTTCGGAAAGGGAGGGAGGGAGGGAGGGAATTTGTGAGTCACTGGGGCTCGTCCAGAGAGAAATGTTTCATTACATGCAATGCTGGTTTTCTTGGGGAGCCCCTTGTGGCTCCTCAACACTAACTACTCATGGAGAAGAGAGACAACGGGCTTACCAGTGAGGAGAAACCGCAAGTATTCAAGCCCTCCCCAAAAAAAAAGAGACTGGTCAACAGAGAGACGACCCAGAGCAACACAAGCATGACAAGGCCCAGGAACATTAATTAAATTATGGGCCACCAAAACTGTTATATTGACAAAACCCCCTTTTTTCCCCCACATGCCTGAACATCAGTCCAGGGCATGTTAGCAAAACCACTGCAAGAGCAGCATATTCGTGAACATCATGGGCATGAGGGGTAGACCGCAGGCTGGCTGGACTTAATGACACTGCAGATGGCCTGAGAAACACAAGTCTTGGAACAGGGAACCAATGAAGAAGGCCCAATCTACAAAGCTTCCACAGATTCAGAATCGGTAGCACGAAGGTAATGGCAAAGAGCTGCGACCAGGCACAGCACATGATTCACCCCCTGGCAGAACTAATGAAACTTCAACAACTGAAGTACCCCTCTTTACTGGTGAGCTTCAACTGAAGCCCACCAGCTCATTCTTTGCCAGAAAAAAGGAGATGGCTGTAAACGAACATAACGCCCACCATAATGCCAATAGGAAAAAAGAACAAAAGCCCCCCACCTCTCAAGAATAGCATGTAGCTTACTGACTCTATAACCAGATATGTGCACCAACAGGTGCTCACCTCTGGTTATAGAGGTGCACACCTCTATAACCAGAGGTGTGCAAAAATGCCTTAAAGAAAGAATCACTGACTGAGGCGGAAACCATAAAAGGAGAAAAAGAAAGGAAGGCATAGGCGGCACATGAGCAGGGCAGGCCGAAGGAGAAATAATGAAGTGGAGAAAAGAGCACCAAGATGCTTCATACTGCTGCCAGGATGATGAGTACAGGTAGGACACTATTAATTCAGCCACCTGCTGAATAGAGATGTGCTAGAAAAACCAGACATGAAGAGCCAGGAAGTTAGAACAAACTAGGTACATCTCTGGACCGTTCTTCTAAAAGAAGTGGAGCTATAGAATAATGCTTTGGTTCAGATACCATACAGGCAGTGCTTGAAACCAAGGCTGAGCCAGCCACCAAGAAACCAGAAGGACCACCTTTGCTCTGGTAGGACTCCAGCCTGGACAGGGCCTGGAGCATCAGCTGTACTGAGGGAAAAAGGTAAAGTAGCTCCCCCCCCACCATGACCAGTCCAGCAAAAGGCATCCACTGTGAGGGCCTCACAATTTGGAAACAGAGCCACATTCAAATGGAACGCGCCGATTCCGAGAAAATGCAAAGAGATCCACGTAAGGGCGCCTGAACGTCTCGCAAAACCACCGAAAGTAGGTGGTGTCGACAGTCCACTTGTGGAGATTGGAAGGAAGTGAGAGAGAGACTGTCTACTGAAACGTTGTACACTCTTTGGACGTAAACACATTCTGGCCCAGTCTTCCAAAGCCACACCCTGCCCAGCAGGAAAACCATGCATGCAAAGTGTAGGTTCCTGCACAACTGCTCAAGTAAATGCAGTCATCCAGGGCCACCTCAACAACAGAAGGTGGCAATGTTGCAACTGTAGTAAAGCCACCCGATGAAGGGAAAGCAGCAACAACTGAGAATCCCATACAAGTTCCAGTCAAATTCGAACCTGGGACGGAACCAACTGGGACTTCCATCAGTTTACCAGGAACCTGAAACTAGCGAGCTGGAAAAGAACCATATCCATTCCTAGCAGACACGCGGACTGACTGAGGGCCCAAACCTAGCCAATCACTGAACCTCGGCAGTATGGGGACATGCCAGCAAGTGTCTTTGAGGTCCAGAGAAATCACCTAAGCCACATCCTCTAACACAAGACAGACTTGGCTCAGAGTGGTCATGCAGAAAGTGAGGCAGGGGATGAACTAATTCAATTTCAAAAGGTTGAGGATGAACCAGAGCTTCACTAAGTCCTATTTCTGGACCGGGAAGAAATGAGACACCCAGTGAAGAGATGCAGTTGTCTTGACCATGCCAGAAGCCACTCGCTCTGCAATGACCTGACATATGCAAGGAGAAGAACTCTGCCTCAAAAACCCTGCCCCAGGGAGGAGAGAGGCAGGATGGATCATCCAACTTCACTGAAGGCCTTGAGAAACATCCCAAAAAGGCAAAAAGGCAAGGGACTAGGAGTCAGGAAGCAGGTGAGCTTCCTCCCACCTCCACTGCCCTGTGAAAGTGGCAAATTGCTAAAGGCCCAGTGTGAACCATGAACAGTAGTGTATTTCCATGAAGCACTGACAAGTGGAAGAGGAACCAACAGCAGGAGGTGCATACGACCCAGAATCTGGCTCCAATGAGGGCCTTTCCTGTCCAGTAATACGTGAATCCTTAGCCATACCCAGCTGCCTCTGAAAATGAGGAAGAAAACCACCCCGAGTACACAATAAATGAGAAATGGGATGGCATGAAACTGCCACCGAAGAGAAGAACTGTGTAACAGCATCCTCTAGAAAGAGAAGGGGAAAAAATGAGGCAGACAAAAGGGCCAAGGACTAAGCTGAATCTAAGGATTGGGACAACACACAATGCTGGCATGCAAGACACAGTAGAATGCCACTACTGACTCCCAGAGCACTGGTGCATACAACTTAGGCATAGCCAGTGAAGCTGCCACAGCAGACAACAAGGCAACTTCACTCGACTTCAAACTAAACGAATCTGTGCTAATGGAGCCAATCAGAAAAAAAGCTCTATGAGGGCAAGAAAGTACATGACCATAGCCAAATGCAAGTAAACCTATAGATCATCTGCATAAAGTCAGACAGGGGCAGCTGGGCATGCAGCTGCATTACCCCCACATCCTGGGAAGGAGTGGGAAAAACTGGCAGTCATTGAGCGATCCAAAAGAGGAGCCGCCCAAAAATGCCTGGAACATGTTCGAGATCTCAAGCCACTTGAGTGTGCGGGAACAACAGAAGCTGCGCCAAGCCCCAAGGAAGAAAGAGAGAGGATTGATCACTAGTCTGGAAGATTGAAGCCTCATAGTTCAGCCAGTACAGCAAAGAAGACCCATCCTCAAAAGAAGCAGGGTCCAGGGTGAAGGACCCTGGATCCTGAGTCACGCAGGAGGTACTAGAAGAGATCCTCCCAAACAACTGAAGAGCGGGATCCGAGATGAAGGAAAACTCCAGAAAGTCAAATCCGATGGACAGTATGGTATGCAGAAACGAAGCTTGTGGGGGAGCTGCAGAAAAATTAAAAATGCAAGGAGGTGGGG